AAGATGAACTCGGCGTAAGGTTCTCATTCGCTAGTCCAAGAGATCCAGACCCCGACCTCATCACCATCATCGGCAAGAAGGACGCCGTCGAGAAGGCCAAGCAAGTTCTCGAGGCTAAAATTGCCGGACTGGTCAGTGTTGATGCCGTCTGTTCATAACTCGTTTTTAAGGAAATGTGTAACTGGCTTTAAATTTATGGTTCAGATGATAATTTCTACAAGGTTAAACATACATCGTGCTTGCTTGATGAGTGAATCTACCTACTTCTTAACAGGAGAACATAATAGAGATGGAAATCATAATAGACCAGAAACATCATCGGCACTTCACGGCCCGCAGAGGTGAGGTGGTCAACCAGATTGTGGATGAGTGCGGTGGCATTTCGGTCAGTTTCCCGAAACCAGGTGTGAAGAGCAGCAAGGTGGTCCTGAAGGGAGCCAAGGAATGTGTTGAGGCTGCAAAAGCCAGGATTGAAGAAATCATTGATGATCTGGTCGGTTGATTGGCTCAATTGTTTTGGTGCTAACTGAACTAGTTGTTGATTTGTCGATTGATTTTCAATGAATTCATGTTGCTAATTCAAAAAAACAGTCATATAACACTCAACATTTACCATCATCTTCAAGCAATTCATGTTGCGCAGTTGTTCGTTCGCTCACTTGCCCACTCACTCACTCATTCACTGGCACGTCATTCCCAGGAGTCCCAGGTGACGATTGAAGTGGACATCCCTCAGAAGTTCCACGGCAACATCATGGGGTCGAAGGGCTCGAAGATTCAAGAGATCACCAGGGAGTTCAACGTGAACATCAAGATGCCCGACAGGAGAGTTGATCAAGGTCGGTGGGTTGGGACGTGTATGCTGTCATCGTCGGGTTTGAATGCAAAGAAAATTTTCCCATCATATGTTCAAGTTCATGTTGAGAAATTTGTCCTTTATACGCATTCCTGTGTTGCATGTTCAATTTTGAAATGACTTAAAACTGTACTGTATGCACGCAAGTCCACAAATACTCATGCATGAACACGCAAATGCATTGATATCCATCACTATCACTCAATCCCCGTGCAGCTTCGGACGAATCAAGTGACCACCAGCATGAGAATGGTGAGAAACTGAGTAATGGGGAGGACCACAACGGCAAGTCATCCAATCCCATCATCGTTTCGGGCAAACCTGAGAACTGTGAGGCTGCTAAATTGGCCATGCTAGTGAGTTCTGTTGTGTTATGTGTATACTTGTATGCTTGTGTGTGTGAGAGTATGTTCGTTCTTGCCTGTCTTTTTATTTGTATTCGTTTGCTTGTGTACATTATATGCTGTGCATAAGTTCAGCTAACCTCTTGTGCACCTATCTACATGCACGCTTACACAGGATTTAATCCCAGTAACGGAAGAGATGGAGATCCCACACGAATTTCACGGACAGATCATCGGTCAGAAAGGTGCCTTCATAAGACAGATCCAAGATGAGTTCAACGTCAACCTGGTCGTGCCCCCCCAGGCTGACAGGAAGGACTGCATCAAGATCGTCGGACCCAAGAAGTCTCTGGAGGGTGTTAAGGAGGAGTTAAGGAAGAAGGTCGAACTGCTGGAGAAGGAGAGACTTGATAGGGTCAGTTGGTCTAGTTGAGTGGTGATTGGTTGGTTGGTAGGTTGGTTGGCTGGTTGTTGGTTGGCTGGTCGTTGATTGGTTGGTTAATTGATAGTTAACTACTAGTTGATACAGTGAGTTGTCAATCATTGACTGATGTTAATTGATCAGTTGTTGAGAAAAATTGAGTTAAATTCATCATTTTATCCTTTTTGATCTAAATTTCCATGTTTTCATCATTTCAACTGTAAACTTTCTCTGAAAGGAACTGAAAAGTTTCAAGCTGGAAGTGAATGTGCCTCACAAGTACCACACAACTCTGATCGGTCGGAGGGGTGCCACCATCAACAAACTCAGGGACCAGTTCAACGTCAACATCAAGTTCCCTGAAAAGTCATCGCCCGAGAAATCCCCCGACAACAACAGCATGGAAGATGGGGTGTCCGACGAGGTGGACCTCAGCAACATCATCGTCATCCAGGGCTACGAGAAGAATGTCAACGACGCTCGAGACGCCATTTTGGAGAAGGTCAAGGAACTGGTTAGTTAGCGCTGTATGGCTGGCTGGTCGGTCATCGTCCTCTTGTGTGATGCTTAATGTTTGGCTGGTCATCGTCCTCTTGTGTGGTGCTTGAAGTGTGTTTGTGCTTTCTTTGCCGTTTATATTGAAGAAATTATCTCAGCAAGTGATTATTTCAGTTTTTTGCTCTTTGTTTAATTAAGGTTGGTCGTCATTTTAATTTGGCATACAATCAACTTAATGATGCAATCAAATAATAATGTTTTCAATTTTGCCGCCGTTGTTTTATTCATTTTATGAATAAAACAACGATAAAACATAACAATTTATTTTCATTGTTATGAACATTTAATAGTGATTATTATTATTATTATTATTATTATATCATCAAATAATAGGATATGTTAATAAACGAAGGATATATATATATTTATATATATATATATATATATATATATATATATATATATATATATATATATATTTGATATATGAACATGATAGCCAACCGATGATGATACATGAAGATGATATGACGATACATTGCGAATAATATGAAGTATATGATACTGAAGAAATGAGGATGCATAAAAATGATAACTAACTAATGATATGATGATACATTATAACATGTGATGGCGGCAGGAGAGCTTGTACATTGAGGAGGTCTACATTGATCAGAGAGTTCATCCGCGTTTAATTGGGACCAGGGGTAGATCCATTAATAAGGTCAGTAGTGGTGGTGAATGGGACGTTGTTGATAATAGTCATGGTGGTGACTGTTGCTATGCTGTCATAGGATGATGATGGTCTGATAGTTTTACAGTTGTTCGTTGAAATGAGTTTTTGCTGCTGAGTTTTATCATCACCATCAATAGATGGTGATGATAAATATGCTGATAATAAATAATGTGAGGTTAAACTAGCATTTTACCTATTGAAAATTTATTGCTTGAATTGAATCGTCAACCAACCAACCGACCAATCAACAACCCACCAACCAACCACCCACCAACCACTTACCAACCCACCAACAACCAACCAATTAACAACCACCCACCAACCAACAACCAACCACCCACCAACCAACCGACTGTCCGACCAGATAATGGAGGACTACAGAGTGGACATTAGATTCCCATCGTCGAATGACAACCCGGATCTCGTGGTCATCACAGGCAAGGAGGATGATGTGCTCGACTGCAAGGACCACCTACTCACACTTGAAGACGAATATGTTGGTGTTTTTTATTTCTACATATATATATATATATATATATATATATATATATATATATATTTATTTATTTATTTTATTTTTATATATATATATATGTGTGTGGGTGTGTGTGTGTGTGCGTGTGTGTGTATCGTATATTATGTGTTTTGATGTGTGTTGTGTACTTGTTCGAATGTCAAAATAGGTGCCAGTGGAGAAGGGCATTTGTGGAGCAAGCATTTAGCTAAAGCCGCGTAATACAAATTATATATTTGGTAGGAGGCCTGATATGCTACGACGCTCTAATAGAACAATACTTTTAAAGGAGTCTAGAAACTTGAACATTTAAGTTTTCTTTCACTCATTCAACCATCCATTCATCCATCCATTCACTCACTCACTCACTCACTCACTCACTCACTGACAGCTGGAGGAGATCGTGGACAGAGAGGAGCACCGTGCAAGCAAGCAGCAACCGACGATCAGCAGTTTCTTCAACAACCTCAGCAACGACATCGCCGCGGACAACAAACAGCCGACCAGCAACAACAACACGTCCACCACCAACAAACAACAGAAAGGTTTCATCGTTCGTGATGCCCCGTGGTGCCAACAACAACCGCAACAACAGCAGCAGCAGCAGCAATCTATTAATAACACCATCGAGGAATTCCCTAACTTGGGACCAGCAGCTGGAAATCCCGCTAGTACCATGTTCACGCCTGCCTGGGGTCCACAGAGCAGGAGGAAATAGTGATGGGCTGATAATATTTAGTTTCTTTGGTATGAGCCGAACGATATATACATATAAAAAATCATTTTGAATTAACGTGTCATTGTTATGTATCTGCTAACGTTATTAAGGGCGCTCAATATATTTATTAGTGAATAATATTTACACACACACACATACATACATACATACACATACATACATACACACATACATACAGATACATATGTATAAGTATATCTGTAAAAAGAGATATATATATATATGTGTATATCTATGTATATGTATATCTTACAAGATAGATAGCTATCATCACCTATTGTATCTTTCCCATCACTTCCTACCTTTATTGCAGGTATATATTATTATTAAATATATTTAAAGGTTAATATTATGTGTATATTACATACATACCCATTGATATATAAATATATATATATATATTATTTATTTATCTATGTATTTTACCAAAATTTATGCATTATTTTCGTTGATCAGTTATTCTTACTAGACACGTTATTATTTATTTATTTTTTTGTGAAAGGTTAATTAATTAATTGATTGATTGAGAACAAATCATGTACATTATTATTATTATTATTATTTAATTATTATTATCATTATTATTATAATTATTACGTTATTTAGATGTCACGGAAATTCAACAATAGATAAATAAATAATTAATTAATTGATTAATTAATTTAAGTTAGCAGACGTATTTATTGTATCGTATCAACCATAAACATAGACAATTCAGTATGGAAAGCCAGCAGCCAAAAACATTATAAAACGTGATTAAATTTATCTTCTTCTATGCATCTTTTCTTAATGTAAATAAGTACAATCTAATTTGCTCCTGTCACATGAACGATGTTAAATTTTTTTTTAATGATTGGGTCGTTTAATTAGCTAGTTATAAGTTGGAATATAGACATGAAGGAAGAATGTTATCACATGCCACGAATTACTTGCACTGTTTTTTATTATTTATTAATTTTTTATTTATTAATTTCTTTGGAGTTATTAATCCGTCAATCGTTCAGTTACTCGTTTATTCATTTCTCCTTCCAACCCTCTTCACTCGTTCGTTTTTCGTTAAGATTGTCCCTTCTTTCAGATTTAATTTCTAATGATCAGTCAATCCGTCGTTCGCGTGTTCGACTCTCATCATTTCGGTTGCTCGAATCATTTAATAATCAATCTAATATCTTAATTCTTCTTGAACTGTTCTCTTGCTGTTTTTTCTCTTTGTTTTTTCTCTCTCTCTCTCCTTTCTCTATTTCTCTCAGGCCCCATCATTTTCATTTTTCTCAGTCCTTCCTCACTATCAACATCACTTGGCAGCAAGCAAGCAACTCTACACACTTTAATCTCATTCACTTTCAAAGGTTCATCTCATCGTTCAACGGGGTAGCTCTAGTTCGTCTTCATCACTGTTACGCTATCGTCTTCTTCGTAATCACGCACACACACTCACATTCATTCATCACCTCTGTCGTTATCACTGTCATCATCGTCTTTGTCGCCATCTGAATCATCGTCGCCACCTTAGCCTCCGCCACTAATCTCGTCGTTGTCATCAGAGCTGTTACTTCCAACCGACCCGTCAATTTCATTGCGTTGATACTTCAAGTACTGATGTCTCGTATGCACCATCTACGTCAGCTCTGTCTCTCTTATATTATTTGATGACGGGCAAATTACATCTTATACATCTGTGTGTGTGTGGTGTGTGTGTGCATCGTGAAAGTAAGATCAGTAGCAAGACACACACACACACATAACTGAAATAATTTCCCATAACCTATTCCAATGTGGTAAGTTTTTTGATGGTGAACAAATAAGAGGTGGGTGGATGACGATGATGTCAATGGTGGCCATGATGATTATGATAATGACGACGACGATCATCATCTACATAGCCGAAATTCAACCTCCTCATAAAACCCTGTTTAGCCGCCAGTCCATCACCTCATGCATATTATTTATTATTAATTAATTAATTAATTTATTTATTATTCATTTTATCATTCACATTCAGAATCATATTAATTATTATCGTAAATAATATTATGGCTATATTTTACTGTAGATATTTTTATTCGTGATAATGATAAGTTATTGTTTATAATAATAATAATATTATTATTATTATTATTAATTATTCATAATAAGAAGAAAGAAATCCTGATAGTTAGTGAATAAGATTAGCGATTATGATTAGTGAATATGATTAGTAAATATAATTAGTGAATATAATTAGCGAGTATGATTAGTGAATATAATTAGTGAATATGATTAGTGAATATGATTTATTTTGTTCGCGGTTAGTCCCGTTTGAAATTGGTGAAGAAAAAAAATATTATCATTCATCTGTTGCACCACAATACCATTTCCTGTTACAATGCTTAATTATTCATTTTGATTTATTCATTATATATTTATGTGCAGTTTTGTCTGTGTGCTACAATCACTATATAGTTGGATATATATCTCTCCTCTTTTATGCTCTTTGATGTTGATAAGTTTGTTATTGTTGTTGTTTTTATTATTGTTGTTATTATGATTATTATTATTATTTGTCTCCCAACACAACCAGAGATTTTTTTAACCAAATTTTTCAAAAATTGTTTGATAAGAAAAAAATGGAGGTGGTCATTTTTGGTCAGTTCAATTTTGAGGCCCTTTAACTTCCTTTTGAGGCCCTTCCAACTCCTTTTTGAGACCCTTCAAACTCCCATTTGAGGCCCTTCCAACTCTTGAGGCCTTTCCAATTACGATTTGAGGACCGACCCTTAAACTCAGAGGCCCATACCAAATGGCCCTCATAATTAATGTTTTTAGTGTTTTTGTTGTCATTCGTTCTATGAAGATTATCGTTCTCGTCATTGTATGGTGTTTTCGTTATAGTTTTTATTATTATTATTTTTATTGTTGCTGACAATAACAATAATAATTTTTATTTTTATTGTTAATAATTAATTATTTTACATCATTATACTGGTTAATATTTGATTATCGCTGATGGCACTATGCCAAAACTCCATCTGGTGGTCAACCACCACCACAACAGCAGCCACCACTACCACAACGACAGCAGCATCAACACAACCACCATAATAATAACATCAACCACAAAGATGACGTCAACAACAGTATCAGTTAGGCGATGCAGACATGGCATTGGTAATAGCTTTAATTAAATAACATTGGAAAGTCTTTTGTTAATTGTGTCTATTCATCTCTCCATCTTTGCAATCGTCATCACCACCATAGTCATCATCACTATCATCATCATCGTCATTCACTTTGATCATCTCTGCCTTAGTTGCGTCTAATTACTATCATTTATTTCAGCCAACATTTCGACCAATTAATCAATCCTAATTATTCAATTAGTTAATTATTTCTTGTCTATATTATGTTATTATTTGTATTATTATTATTATTATTATTATTTATATCATTCACTTACTGTTATTGTGGTTTTGATATGCACGTCATTCATTCATTTTGATTCACTCACTCCATCACTCACTCACCCCATCACTACATCACTCACTCACTCCATCAATCACTCACTCACTCCATCAATCACTCATTCATTTTGATTCACTCACTCCATCACTCATTCCATCACTCATTCACTCACTACTCCCTCTCTCACTCACTCACTCACTCATTCCATCATTCACTCCATCACTCACTCCATCACTCACTCACTCCATCACTCACTTCCTCGTTTGTAGATAGATGTCGCTTCTTAAGTTTTCCGCGTTAAAATGCAAGAATGATTCAACTTGAATTTGCGCTAGAAATCATTTCATTCTTTTAACTACCGTTATTATTATTATCATTATTATTATTAATATTATTAATATTATTGTTGTTGTTGTTGTTCGTATTATATCGCATTATTATTTTTATCATTGTTGTGTCTTGTTTCTTCCACTACTACTATTATTAATTATCATTGTTATTATTATTAATATTATTATTATCATAATAATAATAATATTAATAATTATTTTTGTTGTTTTTGTTATTATTACTTTTAATTATACTTTCATTTGAAATTTTCGTCTAAGTTCTTCACCTTAGCCATTTCAACTGAAAGAGTATAAATAATAATATATATGATGATAATAATAATAATAAATTAAAATTATTCAAAATAATAATAATAAACAACATCGATAATAATAATAATAATAAATTATAAATATTATTTTACTCCCCAATCATCCTTGTAACCGCCTCATGTATGAAGTCATTGCTGTCCCACGCAAAAGAACGAAAAGATGATGGTGATAGAATTCAATAAAGTTCAGATGATGATGATTTGATGATGGTGATTTGATGATGGTTATTTATTATAATGAGGTCAGTTGATGATTTTGACGTCGAGGATTTTCTGATGGTGCTAAAAATAGCAACTGATGATGATAATGATGGTGGTGGTGGTGAAGATGATGATGAAAGTGATGATGATGATGATGAAAACAATGATAGCCAGTAATGATGGGATTGATGGTGACAAACAGACAGAAATGATGAGGAAGGTGATGGTGATGAAGACGATGATGATGATGTCAGAGTGATGACGATGATGATGATAGTGGTGACCATGATGATGATGGTAGTTACGATGGTGTTGAATTGTATTTCAACCAGCCACAACTGCTGTAATCACACGTGCCTCTATATATGTGTTTATGTAATTGATGTCTTCCCCCTCCCTCTCTCTCTCTCTCTCTCTCTCTCTCTCTCTCTCTCTCGCTCTCCATCTATTTATCTATCTATCTATCCATCTATCTATCTATCTGTCTATCTATCTATCCATCTATCCGTTTCGCATGTAATGTATTCCAATATATAAACGAACATATGCAACACACATACGTACATACATACATACATTCTCACAAACACATACGAATATAAATTCACACACACACGTGCTCATGTATTTAATTTTATTTTTCGTAAAATTTTTTGCAATGGTTTGTTTTCAATGCTTGTGAGTGACGATGATGATGATGATGGAAACAGGATAGTCCTACTTACTGACGGTGGTACAGTTGGGATGCTGATGGTGATGATGGTACTGATGATGATGACGATACTGATGATGATGATGGTGGTGGTGGTGGTGGTACTGATGATGATGATGATGACGATACTGATAGTGGTACTGATGATGCTGATGGTGGTACTGATGATGAAGGTGATAGTGAAAATCCTAAAGATGATACTCTTAAAGTAACAGTATCAAGGATATCACAACGGTGAGGACGACGACGATGATGATGGTTCTGACGTGATATCACCATTCTAAGATTAGATAGCTCTACATTCGCGTTTGTGAATAATTTATCTATCTACTTGATCAGTCAGTCCATACATGTATGCAACCTACACACGCACTCAAACACACACTCGTATATATATATATATATATATATATATATATATATATATATATATATATATATGTATATATATATATAAGTGTGTTTAACTGGGTGTCTTTGCGCGTGCGTGTGTTTGTGTAAGCTTTATAAGCTTATTTACCCAATCATTTAATTTTTTTTCTTTTCAATTGTTCGTTCATATGTTCGTTCACTTTTACATTCGTTCGTTCGTTCATACATTCACTCAATGACAATATTGATACTTGTAATTATTTCAACTATAATTTCCTTCTATCCATTCATTCATTTACTCATTCATTCACCTTTGCAATTCTTCATTCAGTTGATCACGTAATGTTGGTTGTTCCTCGTGTTATTTAGATGATGCCTTAATTCTTATGCTTCATGTCCGTGTCTGTATTTACATCCGTCTGTCTGTCTGTTTATGTCTGCACGTTGGCATGTGTCTACTTGTCTACATTTGTACGTATATGTATATGTACGCATATATATTTATATAAATAATGGTAATGATGTTAAATTATACGTTCATGCATACATACATACATAACGCATACACTATATATCCTGTGTGCTTATATATATATATATATATATATATATATATATATATATATATATATATATATATATATGTGTGTGTGTGTGTGTGTGTGTGTGTGTGTGTGTTTATGTTTATAATTCAGTATGTATATAATACGTTATGTCGTTGTTGAAAAATTTCTAGGCCTAATCTTCATAAAATTCATGTAATTAACTTGCACGTGTGTATTTATCTTCGTACAATTCAATGCCGTTTATTTGTTATTGTTATTATTTTTGTTGTTGTTGTTGTTGATGATGATGGTTCGTCGTTGATAGAGATGTCAGACACGTCATTGAACATGTTGCAACGTGCTAACTCGTGTTCATATCTCTCGCTCTTACGCTGATGTTGTTTGTTTTTATTGATATTATTATGTCCTTTTGGTGTTCTTATTATTACCGTTTTATTATTATTATTCCTGTTTTGTTGTTGTACTTGATTATTATTATTGTTGAGTTACCTTTCTAAGTTATTATCATTACACTTCAAGTCATTTAAGAAGTTACATGATGTTGAACGTTGAGATAAGATCGAGTGTTGCTTGACTGGCTCCTTCAGGCCACTGTTCCTTTCGTCGTCAGTGGCCTGATGATGACAACGATGATGAGGATGATGATGTACATGGATTGAGGTTTCCTTGGTTATTTTCATCATTTAGTTATCTGTTCATTCGTTAAGCAAATGAATAAAATTATTTAAACGTACTCAAGGGGTATTTTTTTATTCGTCTTAAATTTTAGATTAAATTTCGAGCAAAGCATTTAAACAATCCTTTATGTAAACATTTAATCGTGACACCCCAAACGCTGAATGAGGTTTCTTGCATGTTCATCTTGGAATCCAACTTGGGAGCTCAGGCACGGCACACAACTAATCTTTCTTATGTTGCATTACTCTATCGAATGTTTGCTAGTTTACTTTCTTTGGTTTCACGGTTTGCCGACATTTTGTCCTTCCACAATCGCAGTTATCATAATCTCCTGCCTGCTACTCACAAAACATTCGCTCGAGAACCAAGACTAAATGACTACGGCTAGGCAGTTTATATTGTTAAGCGAATGTGTTAATAAGGTGGCCAAGCTCCTTAACGGTCCAAGCCATTTTTCGAAATTTGAAATTTTTCACGAGTCGTCATTAAATACATATTAAATATGCATGCTATAAAAGTATTAAACAAATCCGTTTGCAAAAATTTTATTTTTTGATGTCTACAAGATATGTGTATTGAATTTAATTATTTCAAATTACTGTCGCTAAGGTTGTTCAACGCAAAGGGTATCCTTATTTAGCAACGTGTGTTGCAAATAGAGTGTCCTAGTCGGATGAAAAATATCCGACTCCGTCCCATCAAAAAATTCTGACTCCGGGTAAAAATTTCCGACTCTGATTCCCGACTCCGGCTCCGACTCCCAGAAAAAATTTTAAACTCGCATCATAATTTTACCCTATTATCACTAGCAGATAGAAAATATTTGAACAAAACACTTAAAATCAGTCAACGTAATTGTTTTTCTTAATAAAATTATTATATTTTTATGTTTTAAAACTAACTAAAAAAATTATTGACATCATTTAGCATTTATTTTGTATTAAAGTGGAATACCTATTGCTACACACATCTATTTTCCAAAAAACACCATCTTAAAAAAATTGAGAAAAAAACTTTACTTAATAAAATAACATTTTCCGGAGTCAGATGAAAAGAATCCGACCCGGGCCAAATCTCCGACCGACTCCCGGCTCCCACAATCCGGTTGCAAAATGTCTTGCATCTGATATAATGGGACATAGGAAGTGAACTGATATAGAGGTCACTGCTTATTTTAATCGCGTTACCTAATTACGACAATATATTTTAATTGCGTCATATAATTTCACTTCTTAACTCCTGTTAAACACTCTTAAGTTAAATTTGCATTTGCTTTTTCGGGCCCGCTTCTCTGGAACTCTCCACCTCCTTCTCTGACTACTTCTCCATCACTTACGAAGTTCAGAGCGGATCTCAAGACCCATCTGTTAATAAGATTTACTGGAGAGGGCTGTCAAACATCGCAGACATGGCACTTTAAAAACTGACTGATTGATTTATTGATTGATCCATTTATGACAATTTATTTTAATTGCGTTATCTATTTACGACAACTTACAATAATGCTTTTCTACCTGTAAAACTTCAATTTTCTCCTCTGTTGTAGTCTTAAAATTTGTTGACATTTAACTATATTGTTTAAAATGTTCAACAACGCAATGAATTAAAAATCATCTTTCAGTCCGACAGTCTAGTAGTCCCAGCAATCAAGAACGATTGCATTTCATCGTCAGTGTGGCTCAGCAACGTTCAATACGGCCTAATGCTTCGTTATTAATGCTCTACTCGCATTCCAAATGTCTGCTAGATGTCTTGGAATAACATACAACAAAGTTGCACCGTAAAGACAGTTTATTAAAATATTGATATGATTTTCAATTGAAAATGTTTGTCATGCCGTGAAAAAGAAGCAATCAAGGCGGCCACACGCGGCTATTTTATACAATTGTTTTTCACGCGCGCGCGCACACACACACATACACACACACACATACACACACACACAAAACACACACACATATAAATTTCATAAAATTAAATCAACCTTTAATTCGGTGTTTGACAAGTGATAAATTAGTCAATCGCAGGCCTATACACTAAAACACAGGAATAACTTCAAAAGTTACACATTATTATTAAGTATCTGAATTTGAGATAATAAGGTTGAACAGTTTGAAACTCCAGCACTTGTAGCTTGTATACGCACATATATAAAAACATTCATACATGCATGCCCAGCCACACACTGTGGGCATGTATGTATGAATGTTTTTATATATGTGTTGATATATGTGTTGATGAAAGAATGACGCGGTGAATGAATGCACGCAGCTAACATATTTCTACACAATTACGAGAACGGCGTACCTACTCAAGGACACTTGACGTTGATAAATCGAAGTAATTCTGCTGCTTATCTGCCATTTATTTTATCGTTTAATTTGTATGTTAATGTACAGAGCGGAGCTATTAATAAGTTTGAGAGGTTGCATAAGATGTCATAAAGTGAGGCCTGAGGTTAAAGTTCAACTTCTCAATTTATTATCCCTACACAAAATGCAACCCTGACTGATTTATAGCAACCCTGACAAAAATAGCAAATTCAATAAATGTATGTAACTTGGAAACTCGCAGTACCAACAGTTGAAAAAGATAGATGCATGTTTCGTATCTTTACAAGCATACATTCATGTTATACAGTCAATAATATGTGTGGCAGTTGTGCGTACATATATGCAAAATATGATTGCGTTGCCACAAACACACCTACCTACCCACCTACCTACCCACCAACCCACCTACCCACCTACCCACCCATTCACCCACCCACCTACCTACCTACCTAGGTATTCATAGTACATGCTGACTAGCAAGCTGTCTGCATGGCTAGCTGATATTTGAATGTTACGTGATACATTTCGCCGCGGATATTCAGTTACACATTCACTCGCATGTAAATTAAATATAAAATCAAAAAAAAAGAAAATGCCAAAAAATAAAATATCAACTAGTCGGCATAAAATCTTAAAATATCAACTAGTTTTCATCGGACATAAGTTCAAAGTTCAATTGGTTACACATTCACACACCTTGATATGACGTCATCAAACGTACAATTTAAAAGAACCACAGAATGTACGAAATCAAACTTATATATAATACAATGATGAAGATATAGAAGGTGAAATGTTGGTGGTTGATTACATTAATGTAACAAAATGGATTGAACTATCATTAATTATGACCCAAAATTGCGTAAAATTTTTTGATATACGGTACGTTAAGCAATCTTTTCATTAGAAACAATTCACTGAATATATTACTTTATCGAAACGTGATGGACGAAATATGGCTCATAGTTGAATGTGGATAGCACCGGTACTGCTGGCGCTATAAAATCCACATTTAAACTTCCGATCCCTGTAGACTGTTTGTGTCATAGTTGCCGGAAGTTTTGAATCCAAAATTTCCCTGGGCGCCACTTGGATCCTTGCTGACGATCCTGGGACTCGTCACCATGTTCCCACTTCCCGTATACTTGCTTTGCGAGGATTTCTTGCCATCCTTCTGCTTTCTTGGAACATCTCTCGGAGCGTCGTTTGATCTGGCCGACGATCCGCTAGTTACTGATGATTCACGAGTCATCTTAGGTTGTTGAGCTTTGTATGGAGGTTGTTGAAGTGGCTGCATTGGCTTCTGATGTTGGTAAGGTAGTTGTTTTGGTGGAGGTGGTGATACAGGTAGGCGCTCATCCTCATCGTCAAATTCATCGTCATCATCGTCGTCATAATTGTTGTTGTTGTTGTTGAAGTTTTGTGGATGACGACCCGAAAGTTTTGTTTCAGCAGCATTGGTGAATGGTGGCTGGCTCCTGACGTTTGATGCCTGCAGGTCAAAGTAGCCGAACAATATTTAATGATGAATTATGTAAGTATTTGCAGGTCATCACTACCATCATCATCATCATCACCTGTTGTCTGCCCTCAACCCTCTTGACGGGCACCATGCCTGGTCCGTCAACCGCAGAGATGTTGGTGGTGGGGGTGGGGGAGTAGGGAGACTCAACTAACTGACCACGAGAATTGTAATGGAAATCTTGCGACCTGTTCAGACCTGATGTAATATATTAATTTGTACGTTGCTTGATTAGCCAATTAAGTGAATGATTAGTTGGTTAGTGGTTAAATTAATCAAACACCTCCCAGACAACTGGCGGTGATTAAGCAATAACAACCCTCACAATGCCCAACACCTTTTCAACTGTCCCAGCAGAGCCATTTATTTGTGAAAAAACCAACGGAAATTGTTTCTAGTCTTTCAAATTCAAAACCGAATTTACACGTAATTTTTAACAACCACAACAGCAACAGCAGCCACAACAACAACAGCCACAACAACAGCAGCCACAACAACAGCAGCGACAGCAGCCACAACAACCTGTCATGCCGAGGGCTCCGTGTCCTGCGTTCAACGGCATGCTGGGATTGTTGAAGTTGTCGTTGCTGTAGAGCGGTCTTGCTGGCGCATTCTTTGTTGGAGAGGTTGGTTTGGAGTTTTTAGGCTTTTGAGATGCTGCGGGCGGGTTGTATATTTGGCCGGATAGTGGTGGTGCGGGCTTGTTTGGTGTGAAGGTGACTTCATCGGTTGCCGTCGTCACGTAGGGCCCCTTTTTCTTCGGAACCGACGTTGCCTTGTAGGGCTGGTTGCCCTTCTTTCCTGGGGGTCAATGGTGTTTGTTTGCTTGCTTGCTTGTTTGTTTGTTTGTTTGTTGGCGAGCAATAAGAGAGATTGAGTTGATGGATGATGTTGATAACGTATGGGCGGACGACAGTGATGACCAATATAGCAATGAAGAAGCCACAACATTCAGACTGACGTTTGAGGCAGCAGATGATGATGATGGCCACGACCAAGAAGATGACCAGCAGAGGAACGATTACAGCTACGGCAATGACCCAAGGTGCTGTGGGAAAGTGTGATGAAATTTGAACTGGCAGTTAAATAGCGAAGGTGAGATTATGGATAAGATTTATCGTGATCAAGCGTAGCAAGACATTTGAGGTAAAATGAAGTATCATACAAAGTGGGAAAGCAGAAAGTATAACGTGCAGTAAGTCTTGTTACTGTTAAATTGATTGCGGCCGAGCAAACGTTTTAGTAAGAATTAATGTGCAGTAAAATCATCTGCAAAAGATATGCGCTACAAAATATTTGACATGATCACTGAGAATCGTACACAAAAAATGATCACATAGTTTAAACTAGGAACGCCAAGCCAAGATTAAGAGATTAGTTTGTATAAAAATTAATACAAAAATAAATTGAAAATAAAATAATATCTTTATCATTACGCATGCAATCATTGTAGTAATGTTAAATTAATTTAGCTAACCAACAGCCGGTGACTTGACTTCCTCGGTGTTGGACGTAACTGTGGTGACGACGAAGAAATTGAAATATGAAATGGTGGTCGATTATGATGATGATGATGGTGGTGATTGACAGAAACTATAATTATGCCCCGCCCCCCATAATATTAATAATTAATAGGTGGAAAGGGTGCATTTTTTTGCACCTCCTCCTCATCATCATCATCACCACACAGGAACTGACCAAACAAGAGTACACTGGCTCCGGTGCTGTAGAGAACCCCATCATAGAATTTGCTGGCCACACACGTGACCATCACGGTCTGCTTGATGTTCAGCTGCTCGGTGATGATGAGAGATGGTGAGGTTGAGAGGGTCTGGTTGGTCGTGTTGTGGAACCTGGTGGTAGTGTCAGTCGGTGGGTTGATGAGTGTTACATGTCTAGGCTGTTATTGTATGGCCACAAATGTGTGTATTGTTTATGTTCATCATCATCAAGGAAAAAAGTATTTTATCAAAAGACAGAGAACAAGAGTCATGAAGATTTTGCAGGTCCAAGTTCGAAGACTACCCGGATTGTTATCCACTATTAATATGTTTAGCAAACGCCTAAATGTAAGAACACACACATTTGTCCAGCAACTTTTTTGAAGATACTTAAAGTAATAACAACATCAACAACACTTTTTTCATATTTTTTCAGGTTGAAAGCGCTGATGAGAGGAAGTTTTGGTTAGTGCAGCATGAATCCAAACCAAAATCGTCCTTAACATTAAAACCATCAAACTCATCATCAAAGTTATTTCCAAGACTAAAACAATTTTACCATTGAAAGTCCGGTGTAGGATTTCCATTGGCCGTACAATTGATGACGTCACCAACGACCACTTTGTTGACTTCAGGCGGACTGAGGGTGCTGTTTATTTCAGCTTTTGTTACTGGATCTAATAAGAAACGATAGATTTGTTTTGGAGTGTGCATGTGTGTGTGTGTGTGTGTGTGTGTGTGTGTGTGTTTGAATATGTCCATGAGTGTGGGCGGTGAATGTTGGTGTGTTGTAGATATGCATGTGTTTGAGGTGTGTCCACGAGAGGTTGAACATAATGAAAAGGTTGGGTCGCGGGCATGTGCCAGTGAATGTGCTCTCGTGTGTTATCATTTGCTTCTGATAATTTTGTGAGGTTGTCGTTTTTGATTTCACACGTAAAAAGTTGGTTTGTGGGATTCTCATTTATGAATGAATGTAATGTATTTGCGATTTTTTTAACAATTTTCTTTTTTATACCAGTTAGTTGCTTTCTGATTTTAAAAATTATTTTTGCCACCATACAAAGTTAAACAACTATGCCTTTCAATCATATCTGAACATGTCGTGGATGATATTTATATTCGAGGCGAAGATAATGTAGTAGCAGATTGCCTTTCTCGACCAGCGAATGCTGTTAATATCTATGTTTAAATTTACTTTAGCATTAATACTACTTCTTTGTTTCACTTTCACTTTTCTTATCTCGTCAATATAGTTACAATTTGGCTAATATTGTTATAACCGCCGAAACGATAAAATTGCGCTATATCATTTGTTACCTTGATTATTCGTTATCTTTGTTACAATTGCTATATTTGTAACTTTTGATCGTACAAATCCACCTTGGGACCTAGATAGGATCCTAAGGAGACTTAGTTTTCCAGTGAGGTTTTCATTGAGGTTTTTAGTGAGGTTCGATGCGAAGTTGTAATTGCGATTTGTGTAGTTAGATCAGTTTAGGGTTTCTATTAATGTTGGCATTCAAATAAACGTTTAACAAAGCTTGCGCATCTATCGGAAATCATAAACTTATGGAATAACGAACACTTGACGAACGTTGGAAGCTACTACACTGGTGTTGGAAATATAGAACTCTTTGAAGTTAAAACATTAGTGTTGGTAGTAACAAGCGTTAAAAGTTACAACAATTTAATAAAATTATTTTAAACTACACGCCATAAATTGTCCATTTTATAAATTGATAATTAAGGTGAAACGTGGTCAATCAAGCCTTCCTCAACAATTCATCCTTGTAAACCTTGCAAGTATATTAATCATTATAATAACCATCAGAATAGCCATCATCGTCCTTATCACCACCATCATCATAATCATCATTTCCATCCTTACTAACGCATGACTCGAACAGCGAAGTGGCACAAGTCTTCGTAATCGGCGGATCCAGCCATGGGGGCACTGGGCTGCAGTCTGGAGCTGGGTGCGTCCAGGAAGTCAACCCTGCACGAGAACCTTGTACCGTCCATGTCTGCCTCAGCTGTCAGGTTACCTATCAGACTGTTATGGGTTGGTTGGTAGTTGAGTGATTGGCCGAGTGACTATATTTTTGATTGTTCGATTTGTCGATATGTTGTTATTAAATAAACTAGCAGCACCACAAAATATTTTTTGAAACAAATGGTAAGTGTATATGCGAATTAAGAAAAATATTTGTAAATTTGACCTTACCAGAGTTTTTCGAAAACGTTCGCTTAGCAACAGCAAAGAATAAACAAGAAATAATTAGCAAAAACCAACAAAACTTGGACAACAACATCCACATCAGCAACAATATTAACAACATCAGACAACTTTTCACATCCACCAACTTGAGAGGTCCAGAGTCTGAGGCAGTTTTTTTCGCAACAACTCTCCCCACGCCATCTAAAATGTAAATTGTTGGCAGCATTTTGCTAACAAATCCAGAGTTGCATACGACGGTGAAGTTTTCCCCTACTTTCCTCGTGATGTCAGTCGGACATCTTACTGGTTCTGGTGATATTCAAAATTTATTATTGGTTCATAAGTTGAATGTTATGTCTACATCCACCAACATGAGAGGTTCAGATTAATTTAAGAAATTTACAATCTTATAATTCATTTCATTCTTATACTCAATAAACTAAAGCAAATAGTTTTGAATATTTTCAAATAAAATTTGAATGAAATCTAACATTTAGTTGTGCATCACTCTCAGATAAAACATTATGAATGATTTCTAGTGATCATCATTTGTCAGATAGGTTAAATATTCACAAACATACAACGGTGCCAACCCTTACGGAACAAATATACAATCGTTGATACGCACTATCCGTTGGCCAACAAAAGTGTTCGTTCTAAATCGTACGGTATTTTTTGACAATGATAGTCACAACATCAAATGTTTCGTACAAAAGCTAGAATTTATCGACTGAAAAAAGATTTAATCCTTTGGACAGCGGTTGATGAAAAACATAGTTTAAAAAATAATTATTACCAATTGCTTATAATTTCTGATGCCGATAAACCAAAACGAATGAGGAATGTTTCCAAGTTTTTTCATCATTATTTTGGATGAAAAGTTTCTGCTTGATGGTTCCATCAATCTCAGCAAAACATTTTCTGAAATCAAAATCAGAACCATCTGCCGATAAAAAAATGTACTCCAGCGTTCAAGTCTACTAACAAGACTCTTCATTCATTTGAAAGTATTTCCTCCTCCAAATTTTGTAAAAAAAAATTGAAACGCAGCACTACCCAGGTCTGAGTGGCATTACCCAGGTCTGAGGGATTGCAGTTGTCAAACCACTTTTGAATCAATTTCGTCTGGCAACCAATGTTGTGGCCAATTTCAAATCTCACATTTATATTTAGTTATTGAACGTATTATCGCTTGTCAGCTCCTAAATAACCTCAACGAAACTCATTGCTTCCAAAAATTTATTCAAGTTTTCGTCAAGCGCAATCAACATAGACGGTGAAACTAAAAGTGGTTTCTGGTGCCTGGGATGCTGCTAACGCTGGAGAAATTCTCAGTATCGTCAGCTCATATTTGGAAATCATTTGTTCAACAATCCACAGCAGATCTGGTGCTTTTAAAGTTTTTTTTGGAGAACAGCTTTGCAAGCCATCCAACGCAAAAACAAACACAAAGAAGCAGACAAATAACGTTTCACAAATCTATTGTAAAAGTTTCTAGAGCTGTTTCTGTGAAATATGTTGTTACACCAAACACAACAATATATTTTACTATTACGATTAAATTATATTTTAATGACAAAATGAAAATTATTTAAATTAATATTTGAAGTTTGAAAAGACTGAAGCTCCATGAATCTAACCCATGGCAGCGACTCTAGCGTCGACGCGTTGACTTCCAACGGTGCACCTGTACACAGCTGCCAGGTCATTAGTCAGCTGTTTGATGTAAAGGGTGGTCCCTCCCTCGGATGTTGTGAAGTTCGGATTGGCGGGAGTTGGCGTTGGATAGATATCGATCATGTCCAGGTCCCAGTGCACGGATGCCTGGTCAAAAATGTATCAATCACAAAAGTTTTATTCGCTTCTTTTACGTGGTTTACTGGGTTTACAACAACAAATACTGGCGCGGCACAATTTCAACAGAAAAATTGTAGCACCACAGATTTAAAGTATGATAATGCAGATAATGCAAAATCATAAAATTCCTACAAAACAACTAATTGCTAACTAATAGTTGAAATAAATACAATTTGATCAAAAGAAAAAGTGCAGGACGACCGAATGAAGCCCCAGGCGAACCATCAAGTACAGCCAATATGCTTAGAATACCTATACTGGCCCTCGAACTCACCAACACACATCAATGAGCTTTATGGTCTGATGTCATTATGTTCCTCAAATTTCACAATTTTTACATTTTTATGGTTTATTAATAAACATTTACTTATTTTTAAAGATTTTATCATTTTGATTATTTTTTAATTGATATATTTCATGCATTTGCATAATATTTATTGCATATTTAGTATTTTCTTTCTGATCTTATATAACCAGACTGGTTCAAGATGGTTCGCTTGAAAGGCTTCCTTCCATCTTGTACAGTCCCTTTAAATTAAACTAAAGATTAAAAAAATGTTTAGCTATGAAAAAAATAAATTATTTAATTAAATTTCATACATAAACAAAACATAAATACCACGCGTAAACGAAAGTACCAATACATTCACCGTTATAAAGTTAAACAAAGTTTATATTGAAAGAGCACCAATAACTGCATGCAAACAAAATATGGCACACACACAGACACTCAAACACACATACACTCAGACACACACACCACACACACACCACACACACCACACACACACACACACACCAATTTTATCCATACACATCATTATTACAACTCTCTCTAAGATATTCCTCAGAAATTATGAATTCAATGTTTAGTTGAACCAAAACCTCTCAGTTCCTGTTTAAATTTCTTCACTTGAACAATTTGTTTCGAACGCAATGGTAGATTATTCTAAATTTTTGGCAAAACAATTTGCATACATCTATCACCCAGCTTTGTCTTTGTTCTGGGAACTGCCACTAATTCACATTTTTAATGTTCATCTCAGATTTTCTACAAAAAATTCTTTCAAATATTCTGGTCCACTATCAGTAATATAACAGTGAGCAATAACTTCCATTTTGAAAATTCTTTTACGCACTGGCAACCAAAGTAGATTTTCCAACCACCCAGTTATGCAAACACGTCTAAAACAACCAGTCCTGTGGCAGCGTTCTGATTGCGTTGAACTTTTTTAACCACACCAGCCCCAAAACCAAACATCAGCAAGTTACAGTAATCTAACCTCGACAATATAAATGATGCCACAAGGTTTTTGAAGATATCAGCAGGAAGACATTTTTTTGTCTGATATAATTACATAGCTTTAGAAAACAAGTTGTACCAAGTTACCAACACTGAACCCTGTAAAACACCGGTCACCATCACCACCTCATCTGGCATCAATCCATCAAAGAGAACTTTCTGCGTTTGATCCATCAAAAACGAGGCAAACCAACTCAGAGCCATTCCAGAAATACCAAAAATAACGGCCAATCTCTTTAACAGCACACCATGGTCAACAGTATCAAACGCTGAACTGAGGTTGAGTAAGCCAGTAACACCACCCTGCATTATCCACCTGATTAACAATGTCACTAAACACTTTCAGCAAGGCTTTTTCTGTAGATGACTCTAATCTGTAAGCTGACTGAAATCTGGGTAACAACCGGTGAAAAGACAGGTGACCAAACATACGAGTATGCACCAATCGTTCAAAAACCTTTGAAAGAAAATTAAGGTTTGAAACTGGCCTATAATCCTTTAAATTAATTTCATCAAGGCCGTTTTTCAGCAAAGGAGAAATGACCGCCGACTTTAGTCCCCAAGGAAACACTCCAGTTTTGAATGAAATGTTTGTCCTGAGACAAAAAAAATGACAGAAAATGATTCAAAAACCTCAACAACAACTTTGAGGAAAGTAGGTCTAAACCACAGGTTATTTAAAAACGCTGCTTTGACTCCATCTATTGAAAAATCATTAAATTCAAAAATATTGAAATGATTTGTTATTTTAATTTCTTTACAGTAAATTTAGGATTACTGAAGTTAATTTTCATTTGATATGGGCATAGTGACTTTTTTGGTTTTTGCCGATTTTTTAATATTTGTTATGTTATATTATATTATGTTATGTAATGTTATGTTATGTTGTGACTTGCAACATACTTAGCATTCCTGTAAAGTTTTGTTTCATTGATAGCTGCAACCTCGTCGATGAAAAAACGCGTAAAATCCCCAGCTGTTAACGAAACGTGATGAGAGGTTAGTTTTTGTTCATCGAGCAGATTGTTGATTGAATACCGAAATAGTATTGGGTTTGATCTACACTTTGTGATATTTGTGGGCCAAAACAATTTTCAAGTTACAGTTATACAGGACATGCAGCTTAAACAATCAATCTGACAAAACTGGCAACCACATTTTAAAAATTTAAATTTATAAACTAAAAATTTTTAAAATTTAAAATTTCAATGCATTAATTATTACAGTCTTTAAAATCTAAGATCACAATTTTTAAATTGAACTTATTGAACATTTTGTAAAAATTATGTTGGTGCAAATGAAAAATCTGCTTTGAAATATTTTAAACTAAAACAGGTTGCCAGTGCATTGAAATAAAAAGGTACTTAAGAATAACAATAATTAATAATTTTGTTTGAATTGTTTCAACCCTGCTAATTATTTAAAATAAAAAAATTGATCCACGGATGTTAAAAGTTGAATGAAAGGAAATGAAATGAGCTTTAAAATTTGAATAAACACCGAATTAGTTGATTGTAGCGATGTAAGGAAACATGTGACACCAATTTTTAAATTATTCAAATTCTTGGAAAAAAAACGAAACAATATTCATCAAATAAAAGCAAAAGCAGAAAAAACTAGAACAACCTCACTACATAGGAAACATGGATGAAAAGGTGAAAACTCGTGCAACAAATGAACATTTAAGACAACAACAACAACAACAGACCAACCTTCCAGTTTACAGTTAACCCAGGAGTAGGCGTACAATTCAACATGACCATCTTCGAGTCCTTCAAGGCTGCCGTGTCACGAGGTATCTCAATCATGTTGACTGTTTGTGGCTGGCCTGTTGTGGTGTTGTTGTGTGTTGTTGTTATTGTGGCGTTGTTGATGTTGTCAGTGTTATCGTTGTGTTGTTGCTGTTGGTTGCATGAATGGTTGTTGAACTATTTTCGTGATCATATTTCTAAAAAAACCAAATGCAGTAACTAGTACATAAAAATATAAAAAAAAAATTAAAATTTAGAGGTTAAAAAACTGCATGTAAGTACGTAGTTGTAAGTTGTTGTTAATGGACGATAACATAACAATGGTTTTAGCAGTGGTATCAAGTTGACATTCTGGTGATAATAATATCGAAGATGCAACAAACCTTTAACATTGGAGCACATGAACTCCACAAGCAAGACGAAACATGACAGAATCGCTGAATATATCATTCGGCTTCTCATCACGTGGTGCAGGCTATGATGATGAAAATGATGAGGAAGACGTTGTAACAATTAACTACAAAGCGTTACTCACTTAAGTAACGTATGCTATTTGTGCTAACTGAACCAATGTAGAAGCCTAATTCTAAAAACTCCTCCAAAATTGTTAATAAAGTGATTTGGTTTTAAGATTTTTCTATCATCACATCTAATTTTTCCAACCAACAGAAAAAGATATTGATGGACAGTTTTATACTTAAAATGAAAACTCGACCGTTAACCGCGATTTTTACACAAAAATTATTTACACAACCATTTAATATTTCTATACTTAATTACAAATTTTGTCGGGCACTATTATTTTTAATCGATCACAAATTAAAAATTTTAATAAAAAATACTCAAACTCATGCGGTGAACACGCTCGCACGACAAATCCTCAAATCGTTTGACGTTACTTTATGAACACGTCCGTCAAATGATTATTTTTAAATTCAAAATTTCAAATCCAAGCAGCACTCAACTAATACAGGTACATTTGACAGGTAAACGCACGTGTATATACGTATGTATATACATACATATAGATATAGACATACAAACATACTTATGTATTTATTAACATGCGATAATGTGTGCCAATTAGTATATATAAATACATGTATGCATATTATATGGCAAACGCAATCAGTGTCTAAAATACGAATATTGTTGTTGAACCATAGTCAAGTAGATTCACCTGTAAACACCTGTATTGTTTATATGAAATACATGTATATATGTATATATATATATAACTGATCAACTGTATACAAATAGGCTGTATGTATGGAATGATGTATAACGTACAGTACACATATTGCCGATGAATATTCATGATCATGTGAATAATGAGGTCACATACGTGACTTGAATATGCTAATTTGCGATTTAATTAATTGGTCTTTTTATTTTGGTTATTTATTCAAAATATTAAATCTGAATGTTTGATTGAATAATCCTGTCCTCCTATATTTATTCACGTTAACATTTTCATACCAGCGTACATTCCACAAACATACATACACATACATATATACACACACAAACATATATACACACGTACAAACACAAGTACATACGCGCGTACACACAAACACATACACACACACGTACACGTACACACAAACACATACATACAAACACACAAAACTCACGCGCACACTTGAAAGTATGTTTTCGAGTGACTAGAAGTTGATATCTATATATTAAAACATCAAAAAACACACACTCATCCATGCTGTGACGATGAACGTCGTAAACATCGATGAATAATTTCGACATGAGTGGGTAAGTGTGTTTGTTGGTCGGAAATAGAAACGTGGGAACTGCGGTGTGGAGGTGGTGTGTGTGGTTGTGTGACTGAATAAACAATCTTTTGTTGTAGTTTGGAACGAGGCTTTCTTTAATGCATGTTTCATTGAACTTGTATGTTTCATTGAACTTGTATGCCCACCCTTGCGTTTAAAAGCTTTTTAATAAGAATCTCAACTCTGCATGCATAGTTTTCTTGTACTCGTGTTCATTTAAAGTTTCAATAAGTTTTCATACTTCTAAATTATTCACAGTATAAAATTTGGCTTGTGTTGTTAGAAAAAACAATAGCAACAACAACAATATTAATATTATTATTATTTATGTATTTTTATATTAATATTTTAATGCTATTCAAAGAAACTGAAAAAATTTTTAAATGTAAAAGTCTTTAAATCGAGATAGAAAGAGTATGACACTCACAAGTTAATGTTCTTCCTGTAATAGTGGGGAACCTGGAAATGGTTTTTAAAAATTTAGAAAAAACCTTGGAAGAATTTTCGGAAAGACCAGCTTTGACTAAAGTTCAAAAAATAGCATTATCAAGGACAGCAGGCATGAGAAGATGAGCTCTCGGATGAATTTTGGTGTGATCTTGTTGGTTCCAGGATTCGTGAATGGTCAACACTTGAAGGAGCTGTGGAAATATACTGAAAATAATAATACTGAAAATAATAATAAAATAACAATAATAATTAATAATATTATGGATGATGTTGTTATTTTTATTATTATATTAAACTTCATCAACTAACTAGTCACAATAAATAAACATAAAGTTGATCTACCATGTTATTTGTGAAATTTTTATAACTCAGACTGCTGGCTTAGTATGTTATGGTTTGGTAGCTCTCTCACTGCCTGCCTAAATGTTAATTTAATATTAATTCGCTATTAGTATGCTATCACGATGAAGAAAATTATAATGTTAACAACATTAACATAAATAATTAAAAAATTCGCTCTAACATTTGTGAAATGTTGAATAATTTTCATATCCATATTTAAAGAAATCTGTAATAATTAACAATATTAACAGTGACTGTTAAAATTTTATGTATTTTTTTGTGGTGTGGTTGCAAACTACATTCCTAACACGTGCTGCGAACACCTAAATGTTTTAAACAAAATAGAAATGTTTAAACCAAAATTATTAATATTCCATCGTGTTTGTAGCGTTTTTAAAACAGTGTAGTAAGCTCTTGTCAACCCTCCTCCTTTACTCGGACTTAGGACTGGCACCGCGAACTCTTTTGTTGAAAGCAGACAGAGCGATCCAATATCACCAATACTATTCATAGCATTGCTAAAAAGAGCAATGGAGAAAATGGAAAATTAGGAATTGGGTGGAATTGAAAGGAAAAAGAAGTGTCAACGATCTCAGGTTTGCGGACAATATAGACCTTCTAGCTTCTAGTGAAGAAGGTCTACAGAAACTAATTGAACTAACACATGTTGGTGGAAAAGATCACGGGTTGCATATCAACAGAAATAAAACAAAGGTGATGATTACAGGGAAAAGCAGAATCAATGCGGAATTTTAGACAAAATCAGAAAAACTCGAATAAGTAGACCAGTTTGTGTATCTTGGCAGTCTTATAACCTGTGAAAACAACTGCACCAAAGAAATTAACAGAAGGATAGCAATAACCCATGGAATGTTCGCATCATTAAAGGAAATATGGAAAAGTGGAAATATATCTATAAAAACAAAGTTGAAAATGATAGAATTTTGCGTATTTCCGAGTTTGCTCTTTGCATGTGAAACATGGACAATAAAAAAGAGACAAAGACAGATTGCAAGCATTTGAGATGAAGTGTTACCGAAATTTGTTAGGAATCAATTAGAGGCAGAAAGTAAAGAACGAAACCATCAGAAATCAATTTGAAAAACAAAAAAGTGTATATGAAATCAGAGAAAGAAAATTGGGATTTTTTAGACACATTTGTAGAATGAGAGAAGACAGATAGATTAAGATGGTACTAATGAGGAAAAGAGATTGGAAGAAAAAAGTTGGCAGACCTGCAAAAAAATGGATAGATGACATTACTGAATGGACTGGTGTTGGTATTTTAAATTCAATAAAACTAATCAAAGATAGAAAAGGTTTTTGGAAAGAAAAAAGGAATAAATAAATGCAAAAGCATGCTTAGATGTACACCATCGGCTTCGACGGTCCCCCGATGGACAAAGAAAGATCTTTGATTGATTGATTGATTAATAATATTTGCTTATCATTGTTTATTTTTATGAATATCATCGTCCTAATTGATTTGCTTGCAATATCACATGGGACCACTACGTGATTGGTTGTTCAAATGACCTGTACTACAAAGTATATAAACAAACATATAACTGAATGAATAAATGAACAAGTAAATAAGTGAATGAATAAGTGAATAAACAAACAAATGGATGAACGAAAGAATTAATGACAGAACAAATGTACCTACTTACACGCATGCCCAGAACAATTTTATTTCAATTGAAAAATAAATTTAAAATCACCTGCCGCCTGAGCTACTTTTAAAATGTTAGACCAAATATAACTGAATTAATAAATGAATAACTATATTTTTTCGTGTCTTTATATATTGGAGACATTTTTTAAACATTAATTTAAAAATACTTTTGTAGGAGCTTTATAAATTGTAAAATTGAAATAATTTTGTTTAGTAATATTACAAAAAGTCGACAAACTCTGCTCAGAATGAAGAGACAATTGGGCTGAAGTTATCTGCCATGTCGTGTTTGCATCTTCTATGAAGTGACAGCGAAGAAGTTGAAAGCTTTCATCTGTTGAATAACAAACATGCTAAGCTAGCGACATCTCTAGAAAATTGTAGCAGCAAATTGTCACCATCTACAGCAGCAGAGTAAATGACTTAATAAAATAGTCCAACAACAAAAGATTAAAAATAAACAAACCAGACATTTTATCCGTGCTTTCAAGATCATGCATGGCAATGGAAGTATATTGTGTGCCACATAAAATGTAACTAAATTTAGATACAAAAAACGTGTGACTTCAAAATAGTATTTATAATAACAATAATAATAAAAATAACAAAGTTTAAAGTGGTTCAGTAAACTGGCATCTGTTTATTTTTCTGCAATTAGTTTATGAAGCGCTATTTCCGCAAATTCAACAGCGCTCCTCAATGAATTTTGCAAACAGATGGGTCTTGAGATCCACTCTGAACTTCGTAAGTAATAAAGAAGTAGTTAGAGAAAGAGGTAGAGAGTTCTAAAAAAAGGGTCAGAAAAATAAAACGCAGATTTAGCAAAAAAGTTTTTAACACGAGTTAAGTAGAAGTGAGAACAAGAAGACGATCGTAAACCGGGGTGTTTAGGTTCAATTAATATATCTGATAAGTTCTTAAAAAATAATTTAGATTGAGACTTATACATGAATGTGCAAATTTTAAAAATTATTCTATATTATACAGGTAGCCAGTGCAAGAGAACAATATATGGAGAAAAGAAAGGGGCACGAGCAACTAGACGAGCAGCTGAGTTAAAAGCTTTACTTAAAGGTTAGAGTGTAGAATCAGGAAAAGCATAGTAGAGCGAGTTGCAATAATCAATCCTAGATAAGATTAACAAAGTAACAAGAAAGAAAAAAGTAGGATTGCCAAGAAAAACCAAATTTTTTTATTCAACGTGGATGAAAGTAAGAACTTTTAGCAACATTATTAATCTGAAAAGAAAGAGACATACCAGGATCAAAGATAAAGCCTAGACTACAAAACTTGTGAGAAACATCAAGAGTTTTAAAATCAGGTAAGATAATAGGAGGAATAGAGTGTTTAGATTTATTAAAACAAATTAAGTCAAATTTAAAAGGATTAAGTTTGAAACACATACAGTCAGACCAAACGATAATTGAAAAAGGATATAGAGATAGATTATGAAGAACAGTATTGAAATTAGATGGAGGAAAATAATTATTTTATCGTTGCTCTACGCTGTACCCGTTCAAGAATGTCTTTGTCTTTTTGCAGATCTGGACTCCAAACCTGTGAACAGTACCTGAGATGAGGGCGAACTAATGTTTTATACAAGTTTATAATGATCGACTTCTCTCTGCTTACCACCGTTCGTCGTATGAAACGTGTAGAACATTTTTAGAGAAATAAGCGGACAAAAAAATG